CTGCTCATCAGCAAAGGCCTCTCATTGGTCCACCACAGTTTGTTTGTTTTTTTAATTATTCTTTTCAACCACAATTCAAAAGCAACGTCTGATTTCACTAAATCATAATTTAGCACTTTTTTTTTTCTCATTACTTGTTTCAGTTTCTAGTTATTTGAGGGACTGTCGTGGACTTTGCTTTTCTTTCATGGAGGGGATGAAGACATGGAGGACGGCTGCAGGCAGCATGGTGCTCAGAGTGCTGGCTCATCTCCTGACCTGCTGTCATTCAGCTGAATCACCTCACAGACCTGCACATTCCTCTGAGCTGCATCTACAGGCAGGAAAAGTGGTTCTTTCATGAAGCGCCGTTTCAAAAGGCAGGAGACAATAAATTTCAAGGTTTCACGAGCTGGACTTTGAATGTTGTTTCTTTCAAAGCAGGCCAAGTGACATCACTATTCAAATCTCCGTAAACAGGCGGCATGCTGGAGCCGAAGCTTGTGACGCTGATCCAAACCCAGAGCGAGCCTCAGCGCTGCTCAGCGACCACAGAGCTGCTGCTGCAACTAGACAGACGCTTAGAGAGTGTTTTTACAACGCTAGCTTCGTTTTAGAAAAGCCTAGTGTTTGAATGTGTTTCAAGGTTAGTGCGGAAAACAACGTTTATTAAGCACAGTTTTAATAAAACCTTAATATTTGGATATGTACGAAGCAGCTGAAGCTGAACATGTTCTCCTGTTTCCTGTCTCTACTCTCGCTCCTGACTGGTACAGAAACTTTTGGTATCATTTGTTTTGAGAGAATTGAGTTTCGTTTACGATGCTCGCAGCATGTCAGCGTGTTCTTATGATCTCACATTTTAAAAATTCAGCAGCAAAACCCCTTCACAGAAACCGAGGCTCTACTTTGCTCGTGTAACTGGGAGGTCCTTAAAACCTGAACAAACCAAAGCAAACGTGTCTGTGTGGTGGGAAACTACAAAAGACAGCAGATCAGATTCTTTCAGCTCTTCAGAGTTGAACAGGTAACGGGCAGATGCATGCCTCTGCTTGGACTTCATTGCCAGAGTTGCTGCACAACACAAACTCAGCTTGAACATGGTGTCTGTCCAAATGAACAGGAAGAGGTGAACGGCAGCAGCACATCTCCACCATCTCTGCACATCTCAAGTTTCTAGGCAACTGAACAACGGTTTACATTTCCCAAAGGATGTTGAGCTCGTCTTACTGATGAAAACTTTGAACTGCTTAAATTATTCAGCTTCCATTTCAGTAAAACGTGTCTGGAAGGTTCAGGAGTCTGTGTGCTTGTGTGTCGATCTGTGTCTTGGTGTGTGCTGGTGGTGGCTGGGACTGCGTTTCAGGATGGGTTGGGGTTTCCAGACGGGAGAGCTCTCACTCACTCTCCTCCACACCTGATCTCCAACCTCCACCTGTGCTCCAGCGCCACTCGATTATCCTCCTCCGAGTGCTACCAGGCCAGCAGTGCTTTGAGGTGCTTTGCTTTGTCTAATGTGTGTTTTATGTGTGCTTTACCCAGAACCTCCCCGATGGATCGTAGCCTCCCCCGCTCCGCTTTGGCAGCAGAACCACAGCCTCTGTCGCCTCTCCCGGTCCCCCAGGAAGCTCCCCCAGGATCTCCCCACTCACTCGGCTTCCCGCACAAGCTTCCCGGTGTCCCCTGGTTCCCTGCTGTTGTTCAATAAATCCTTCTGGTTTGCATTCTTGGATCCTTCCTTAGACGGAACCCTCACAGTCTGTTGTGTAGGTCAGTGTTTGAGTGGGTGACGTCCACGTGACTGCCAGAGCCCAACATCTCCCAACAGAACATCAGGTCCGGGTTTGGATGTAGTGGCTGATGAGTGTGTAACTGAATCACCTGATTGTGATGCTCAGTAATCCAACACATGGAATCAAAACAGAACATTACACACTTTCACAGACTAAACAACATGTATGTGGACATGACGCATAATTCAAACATTTTACAACAAACAGGATTTATTATGTGTATATATTGTTATATTAATACTACTTTTATGACATGTTGCTCAGCAGAAATCCCCTCGTCTGTGTCGTCCTGCTGGTGAGCAGCTGTAAAGATCTTCAGCTCTTCTCACATGTAGTTCAGCTGAGCTGCTGAGAGACGCTCACGTCTCACTGACAGCTAAGGTTAAGTTAAGGGGACCATCATTTATGTCCAGAACTGTTTCATGAGTTCATTTTTTAAAATAATTCTGTTGAACTGTGGTTCCAAAGCAACGTCTGGTTGTCATTGGTTCATTTTCATAAAATTTTTATTTATTATTACTTTTGTCAGATTCACTTTATTTCTATAACCTTTGTGGGTTTTCTTTCATTAACCGAGGGCTACCAACCACTGTGTCCAACACTGTGGGTTGGTTTTATTGGTTTTATTGGTTTTAGAGTGTTGTCTTCACTTTTCTTTTAGCTACAGCCAGATGATGTCATTCAACAGGCAGATCCACGCCTTCTTTCTCTGGTTGAAACACATCCGTCCTATAAACCGTCTCTGTAGTGGGATCTATATATATATATATATATATATATATATAAGCTGTGTCAGCCTCATATCAACCTTTAGCCCCAGTTATCGGTGTTCACGTATACACTCCCTCAGCAGGATTCTGTGGCGACTGCAGGGTAACCATCACTGTCTTTGGTTGTGTGAGGTGACAGACACACTCCAGACCACCAGCTTTATCTTAAAACCCTTTACGCGGTCCTTCCTTATATGATCATGATGTTGTATTAAAGCAACCAGAAGATGGAAGATCTGAGGCTCATTCATATATTTATTAGAGCAAAACACTGAAAGCGTGATTACAGATCTCACATCAGAATACAGCATCGGCTACCCAAATGATTGAAGGCTAACTTTAATTTACTGCTTGTTAGTCGAACTTTTAAAGGTACTGCTGTTTAAAACGCAAACAATCCACATCTTACAGGATCCACAGTGATTTGTAATCATCTGCCGTCGGCTTCAGACTTCAGTGTTCGTCTCCTCTTTGACCTGCTTCTCCCACACAAACTCCAAAGTGCAGTCCTGCATCTTAGAGGTGAAGACGCTCACGAAATGTTGGTTCTGCTCTTCTGTGAACAAGTTTCTCCAGTCCCCGATCTCACCTGTGTTGGAGAAAGTAGTGAAGGACAATTATAATTAATTATAGGCTTTCAGGTTGTGCTTACAACTGATGCCTAAAAAATGTCTTTGTTCTGATTTGTGTCCTGTTCACTGCAGAGTTCAGTGCAGAAAGGATGACCGCTGTTTTCTACCTGAAACTGTTTCTATTGAATTTCTCTTTGCATTGAAACAAGCTGTGCCATCACAGACTGCAGCAATGATTCACAGCTAACAGCAAGTCAACTAGAAATGGGTTTTTCTCAGAGCTTTTTCATTTTAAATATTTTAAGTATATAAATAAAAATGTAATAATAAGAGTAATTAAATAAAGTGTTTAAATGAATAATCCCTAAATGTTTTTTTTGTGTCTTGTGACCTCTGAAATCATCTCGGGGCCCTTTGAGGGTTCCTGAACCTCAGGTTAGAAACCACTGTAATTTTAGCAGATATAAATTGAGGATTGAAGTTTTTGCGGCGACTCTTTCTCTTAGTATCTGCATACGAATAAACACGGCCACCTTTCCTCATGAAGGAGCCCTTGCTGTGATCCATTATCTGTTCAGGGACGAGGCTGTAGTTGACCATCTGGTTGTCTCTCATGCTGCTGAAGCTGCAGTGCTTCACACAGTTGTTGACTTCGTCGTCCACCAGGGGGCGCTGCAGGAAAGAGCTCACCCTCTTAATGGTGCCCTGTAGGTCCTGGCAGCAGGAAGAAGACAAGAGTAAGAACAAAATTACACAAAAAAATGGCCTGATCGGACAAGAACCTTTGGATTCCCTCCCTTGGCTGCTACATGTGAGCAGCAGCTCCTTTAAATGTCATCGGACTGAGAGCTGAGTGTGAAGAAGAAACGACATGCTTTGTCTTATAAGTAAGGAGCAAGATAGGTAAGTGTTGTACAGAAAACTGGTCACTTAGTTGTCTGTTTTAAAATCAGAGGGCTTCACCAGCGACATCTGCTCATAGGTGACGTGCAGCAGACGGTGGGCCGCTGCTGTCTGACTGGTCCAGCCTCTAATGTGGTCAAACCAGGAGCCAAAGTGCACTGAAACAAACAAGTGTGACAAAATACTGCTCAGCTGATTCAAATTGTGACTTGATGAAATCCTTTTTTTAAAAAAAAAACACTCATGAAGACTCACGTGTGCCCTGCAGAAACTGATCTAAAAACTCTGGAAATGAAGCAGCTTCAGGGAGAAAGTTGGCCATTTTGTGGAAGTAATAAAAGGACACGACCACGTCTTTAGGGTTCCTGCTCACGTAGAGGACCTGCGAGAGGACAACGAACAGCATGTTTGACTGAATGCTCCCGGCGCTTCCTATCACGAGATGTTTGAGGCTGATACTAATATTGATATGAGCGAGCTGTACAGTCATAGGGCTAGGGTTGCCCTAACCCTAGTCACATTATTAGGAACACATCAGCAGTCTGTAACAACAACTCTGCCTTAAATCTATGAACCTGTTCCGACCCAGCTCGGTAGGGAGAGGGAAGCAGCATCGAACCTGACCAGCGGTCCGTCACTGTGTATTGGCTGATACCAGCTTTTCTGCATCAACAGTCAACCTTCAAACCGTCCTCTTGGACTTTGACTGAGGTCCATAGTTACTGATATTGATACCTGCAGAGATGTTACTGTAGAAACAGAACAGCGTCTCAGTGTTCTCTGATACACAAACTATGTAATGAATATACTGATTATCCCTGAAATACTTTGCATTTTGCTGTGCAGTTTATTTTTACTTATTGGCCAACATATAGTGCAGTACCAGGTACCAGCGTGACCCTGACATCGTGTACTGGTCTGATCAATATATATACTGGTGACCCGTCTTCTCTGTTGGTTTACAGCCCCACCTGCTGGCAACAGAAAAAAAGTAGTTTTCGTGATTATGAGTAACTTAGAATTGAATTCTTTATAAACAAAACAGTGAAAGTCCTCTGGTGAGCTGCATTAAAGTCTGAAGCGGTGTTTCAGTGTGTGTGACCCAGACTGTGGGAACGTCAAGCATTCGGTCATTGAAACAGAGAGCACAGCTGGGGCTGACTGCCACTGCTGAAATTTGGCTTTTTGCAAAGTACTGTTGTCAAAACTGGGTTTTCGTCAGCAGATAGCACGATAAAAATGTAAACGTATCAGTGCCCACCAGCACCAAATGGAATTAGACCTCAATCATCTTTGTGGTAGTTTTCTACCAAACATGAATGGTGCAGAAATCATTTAGGCAACAGTGAAGTTTAGCAAGCTTGGCAAACACAGCTGCCCAAACGGTCAGCGCACGCTAAAGAAGGCTGTAAGCGGAGGAGAACCAGCATGTGTCCATCCAGTTCTCACCTCAACAGGACTGTGGCAAAACGCAAAGTAGCACAGGATGTCAAATTGTGTGATTTTCCACCTAAAACAGGACTGATGACAGCTCAGTTTGTATGAAAGAGTAACGAGACCTTGGCTTTAGAGCCCTGGAGGGCAGGGCCCAGCAGGTGATACGGCAGGTGTGTGGTGATGACTCGATGTGGGGCGGATGAGGCCTCCAGCACGGCAGAACAGTAGTACTGCTCCAACCAGGGAGCTCGGGTCCAGTTTGGGACACTTCTGGATAACTGGGGGTCTCCTCTGCTGGATATAAGACTCACAATTTCCTGCATCCATGTAGTGCCTGTTAAAATAGTTGAGAGAAGCACCTGTGACCTGACTTTTGTTAAATTAATAACAGCAAGAAGACCTTTTTAAAAACGTGAATACCTCGACTGCAAAGTAATGCCAAGTTGTAGCTTCACAGAGCGTACATCATGCAGCATGTCTGAGGTGTGCAGAAGTGCACATTTACCGTTAGATCGTCATAATGTGGCGTCACTGTGGCAATGATTTCTAATTATTCTGAGTAATTATTGAAGTTCATCCTGCTGCTGTCTGATGATGCAGGTATTCATTTAACACACATTTACACGCACTCAGAGTAACTTATGAGCTCGTCAGTGTTTAAAGTTTCCTTATTCTTTATGCACATGCTGAAAGTGATCCCATCATTTCACTGCAAATATATACATTTAAGCAACAAAACTGAAAACTGTGAAAGAATGCACTTGAGAGTAAAAATTAATGAATAAAAAAACTGAAAGTCCAAAATAAACAATATTTGCTGAAAATCAAAATATATCTGCAGATGTGGTGGTGATGGATTCATCTGTAGAAACTCTGTGCAGTAGCTCAGCCGTCTGCTGTGTGTGAAAACATTTGAATTGTTCAAGCTCCATAAGATCACAGTGAAGATCTGAATGATAAATGAAGCCCGTGTCTCATTGTGGACCAAGCTGCCGTTTAATTAAGTCAAAGAAAGGCTGTTTGTTCAACGTAAAGCTGTGTCTTAAAGCAGATGTCCAGAGTCGTAGAAAAGCTGGTGATGCTGAAGGAGACAAAGCTGATCAATGTGGGTATCAGAAAGAGCTCCGCTAAACTCTGGGCCACTTTACCCACGAGCCTACCTAACTAAATGCTGTCTCATCCTCCATCACTGCTGCTAGACACATGACGCTGTAAATTCACATCTAGCCATTGATTTCTGACTAACATGCACTGAGTTTTTCCGTTGATTCTGTGTGAGTCATCCGGGACAGGTGTGGCATGCACCGTGCTTTCCAAGAAGACAGCATGAAACAGTAGGAACAAGCCAACGAACACAGAAACGACTTTAAACAAGCAGGAGGCTCACGTGGCAGCGGTGAGCTGGACGACGCTTGACACTGCAGAAGCAAGCTGATAATCTGTCCTCTCGCTTACCTGACTTTGGATAAGACACAATGAGGACGTCTGTGTCCTTGAACAGAAACTTGACAGCAGACTCCAAAGACTCCTGAGTGTGCAGGTGTCCAGGAAACGAAATACCATGAAAGCTCTCCGTGACATCCAACCTGGCCATTTCTTGATATATTTACAGATGCGCTGCTCTTTGGTAAACCAGTTCAGTTCGTGGTTTCTGTAACTAAGCCTGCTTCTGGTCGTCTCTCCACGCCACACTGACCCTTTTTCCTTCTGGCTCCCTGACAAAGACCAAGTGGTGTCCACACAGGCTTTACCTGGGTCAGAGAGAGGAAGTGCAAATGGACCTCCTCCACGGAGCTTCAGACAGCGGGGGTTTCTTGCAATACTTGTCAGATTTACACAGCTCTCGTGTTCACAGCTAAGCAGGAAAGAACAAACAGTTTATTGTGTACATGTGCAAAGATCTGTTTGCTGACTAAAAAGACAGAATTTAGTCTCTAACTGATGGAATCTATTCATTTATATCTGCACACAAGCAGGGAATCATTTGTTCTGGACCCTCCTTATACATATAATAATATATATCCTTATAATATACAAAATCTGGAAGTATATTGCAGGTCTGTAAATACTGTACAGAGCTTCAAGCAACAATAGAAATACGGCAAAGTGGTCCGTTTTTATTCAAAACTATGCACAAGTTTTTCTGTTGTAACATAACAAATGTAGGGAACAAGTGAGACGGACTGTTCGGGTTAGCATTCAGGCATTCACACGAGCTGAGCTGAACTCCCTTCTGGACCACTGGACTCAGCCCGCCAGTGCAAACAGTGCAGAGGATTATTCCAGCAGGTTCAGGATAGAACCACAGGCGTGTCAGATCCAGAAACTGTGGGATGTTCCAAATGAGCACACTGACCACTGTTCAGTACCATGTTGGGAAGATCCCACAACAGCACAGTGGACAGTCTGGGCCTGCTGGTGCTGTGGTGAACTGGGTTTCATTTGCAGTTTTTACCCACATGATCAGTGGCAACATGGACAATCTGAACCTTACATAAGACTTGTGGGAAACACAAGTTTCCATCAGTGTGTATGAGACGCGGTTTGGTTTGTGCACCAACAGAATGAGGCTGAAGTTTGATGACAAAGGTTGTTGAGCCTTCACGTCTGCTGCTTGGGAGGCACATCTGATGAGACTGAATGTGTTGAAAGCCTCTGTTGGGTGGAGACACTTCATCTGAAGTGCGTGTGGTGTTAAAAGATAAATCGCTAATAAATGAATACTTTTTCAAAGCTTTCTAAAATGTTAAATGCTAGTGTACATTATCCAAAGCAGGTATGTCTGCCAATTAACTGATTTGATTTCAAAGTATGTCATTTTTAACATTTTATAATTCAGTGTTGTGCCTGAGTGTTAATGAGCTGCATACCAGACACTGAAGTACAAACACTAGACCGGATTGGGTTTTTCTTTTCTGACTGTTTGACTGAGAAAAGTGGGCGTTACTTACTCGGAAAGTGGAAAAGCAGCCTTGAAGATAACAAGGTGGAGTCGATAGTGGTCGTAGATCAGTGCTGTCATAGGAGATACCGCGTCTTATCTGCTCGTCTATAGTAAAGATAAATGAAGCTTTAAATGTGCAGTGTCTCCTACTATTTTATCATTATACAAGGTCTTCAGGTTGGAATTTTTAGCCAGTAAACAGACTCGTAACTCACTTGTGGTGTGGAGATAACATCCCTGTTTCAGTCATATCAGGAACAATTTCGATCTGATCTCATTTGTTGTTGGAATATCGGTTGCATCACATCATCACAGCAACTCACCAAGTGATAATGATTCCTTACATCCCAATGTAAAGCTCACAGCTGGCTCCTGTTGCACAATCCGCCGTCAGCCTGTCTGCAGCTCACATGGTGAGGCTTCGTCAGCAACCAGCTGACTGTTAACAACCGTCACAGAAAAGGAATGAAACAAGGATTTTATTGCTGTTGTAGAAACATGACCATCAAAAATTGAAGTCATCCACTAAATGTCTGGTTTCTTGGATGCTGGTTGTGCTTAAAGACCTGTCAGTTCACTCTTGCAGCCAAAACCAGACAGTGAGTTTGATTTGCTCGTGGCTGTGAGCAAAAGCATCTCTAGAAAGTAAATCAATTCGGTGGATTGAGAGGCAGCTGCTCTTTCGGACTGGTTCATTTGGAATCTGTGGGCAGCGAATGGGCAGGATTATGCACATTTTTAGCTAAACAACTATTGGTTGGTCAGTTTTCACATAAAAAACTGACCTGAAATGCCTGGAGGCCCTCCAGTGAAGGGGAACGGCAGGAGCAAACCTACTCATGTTGTCACTACTTTAATTTTATATCTCCAAGACTTTAGGACATACAGAACACAATAAAATCAATATGGGGCGACTTTTTTTACTTCCAACAAGCTGGAGTCGCAACAGTGATCGCAATGCGTTTGATGTGGCTCTCCAAGTGCATTTAACTGAATTTACGTGAGCTTACAAGTGTGAGGTACAAACTGTTCTTGCAATCAGTCAAAGGTCATACAGGGGAGATCATGAAGTGAGATGTGGTTTATGAGTGATTTTATATGTACTTTTACTGTTGATATGAGATTATGAGGGATGAGAGGTCAGCCAGAGTTTCAGTCATTCACACTGTCGCCATCACAGCAAAGAACATGTGGAACAAAGAAGATGTGAATGAAGAGAACTTTACCAGTGATGAGTGCAACGTGTTCAAAGGTTCTGTCAGGTTCTGTCTGCACAAACAGTGTTTCCAAACAGAACCAGTTTATTGTTGGCTTTCGCCTTTTCATGGAATTTGTGGACAACATAAAAGAAGCACATAGACTCAGGTGTACAGCCGTACTGGACAACATCTCTTTATTCCATCATTCAAGCTGTGAAGCAAACGTTTTAGTAGGTTTCAGCTCAGTTCGCTCTCTGTCACAGAGAAGATCATTAAGCTGGTTTATAGTTCTGGAAAATCTTCCCACTGAGTTTTTCAAGGCCACAGGAATCACAAAATAATACTCTCAGATAATATTGCCCAAAACATAAATTGTGAACTTTAGAAAAGCTGACAAAAGGCACATTATCCATTAACCGTGTCCTGAGCAGCCGCTATCGAGATTCTAAGAATGTTTACGGTAATGTGCTGCATTTATGACAGCTGAAGCTGTAATGAGAAACAGATTGAAGACAGAGGAGGAGCGATGAGCATTCAGAGGCATAAACCAACGGAGACGGGCAGAAAACCGAGTGACAGTCTGCACTGATCCAAGCAACAACAGCAAAAAGCCTTACAACAGAGAAAGACCTACTTTCATGCTTCAAGGTAAAGAGAGACCAACTAGATCACGTTTGTGTTGGAGGGTAAGTTTAGAGACACAAGGAAAAAGCAGAGCAGCTCATTCAACAGTGTGTGAAAGTTCAGGAAATGCTGACCAAGGTTGTGTTAGCTTCATGCGTGGTGCTGTGGGTCAGTTCTACCTCGGCTCAGGAGCCATTCATGACCAGAGCCCTTCAGCTGATGTCTGAGACGCCGCTCATCGATGGGTGAGTGCAAAAGTCTGACATCAAATAAACAGTGCTTTGCATGTTATCTGCTGTTTTTCATATGAGCAGTGAACGTTTTACATTCTGTCCTGAAGGTCCACATATGGAAGCAATTTCTAGCTCTGATCCAACAAAACAAGAAGTTTTCCTTCCTGCTGTCACAGTTGAAGTTTTGAGAAAAGGCTCTATGAGCCTCTGACCCTTTTCCTGAACTCTTTTCCAGCCATAACGACCTGCCCTGGCAGCTTCGGAAGCAGTTCAACAATGAGCTCAACAAAGTGGATCTTCACACACTGCAGACAACACACACCAACATCCCTAAGATCAAGCAGGGACGGCTTGGTGCACAGGTATGTACAGAACACAATGTACTGGCACATTAAAGGAAACTATGTTTTCGAGGTCAAGGCTCCTTTATCTGCTGGTCCCACCGTCCTGTCTTCAAAACACAACTTGTTTCTATGAAAGAAGTCAAGCTGACCTGCTGAAGCTGGTTGACAGAATAACTCGGATGCCTCAGTCTTCCTCTGTCCTTGCCTTTCTATAAATATATTCTTGTTCTGATTAGATTTTTTTTATTGTTAATATATTAAGGTGCAGAGGCTGTTGCATGTTTAAGTGTTCCTATGTTGAGATAAATATATGGAGTATATAGCATCTGATAATATTTTTATCCTTTTAAATTTTTAACCTTGCAAGTCTTCACTTTTACTCTTAAGGAAACATTATAGATTGAAAATAATTAAGTGTACCAAGCTGCTCTGTGGTGCCAAAGACAAGGTGGATCAAAACATTTTATCTTAGAATCTGCTCTTTCTGGGCTGCAGGTGTCTCGGTGGTTAGCACCGTTAGCGCCTCACAGCTAGAAGGTCGCTGGTTGGTGTCCCGGTGAGGACACCCGGGATCTTCCTGCGTGGAGTCTCCATGTTCTCCCCGTGCAGCGTGGGTTCTCTCCGGGTTCTCCGGCTTCCTCCCACAGTCCAGAAACATGCTGAGGTTAATTGGTGATTGTAAATTGTCCGTAGGTGTGAATGTGAGTGTGCTTGGTTGTCTGTCTCTAAGTGTAGCCCTGTGATAGACTGGTTACCTGTCCAGGTGAACCTGCCTTCACCCTGAGTCAGCTGGGATAGAAAGATACAAAGATGATTTTGTATGCAGATGACACAGTTATCTATACATCCAACTTAATCATGCATTCATTTAGACCGTTAGACATTATATCTTTTCCCTAACACTTTGGTACATATACATTATTTCAACCTGTTATTTCTACTCAAGTAAAGGATTTGAATGTTCTTCTGTCCCTGGAGGCCACAGCTGGCTAACTGGATACTTGCCAGAGAGATGCATGCATTTTTTCATTTACTCAGCCTCAGCTGCTCACCAGCTCAGCTTGTAGTGCCACAACTATCCATGTTCTCATTTTACCTGAACTAAAAATGATTCACATCAGTTCTATGCAAGTATACAAATTTTAACTGCTGAAAAAAAGAGCACTGACATCAGATGTGTTGTTGGCTGGTATTCTGAGCAGAGGTCAGTCCGACAGTGTGTCCTTAATGCAGCTGCTGTGAGACACAGGTCATGTAACCAGAGCCTACATGACATTAATTAATGAAAAACGATGTGATTGTAAGGACACACAGTGGTGCCGGTGATTCACACATCATACTTTGTTCCTCTCTCAGTTCTGGTCGGCCTACGTGCCCTGTGACACTCAGTACAAAGATGCTGTCAGACAAACACTGGAGCAGATAGATGTGGTCCACAGGATGTGCCTGAAATACCCAGAAACCTTCATGTTTGCCACCAGCAGCCAAGGTGAGACATTCATGTGTAGTTCCAGACATTCAAATGACTGTTCCAACCTGCTCTTGCTTCCTGCCTGCGTCACTCATGAACTGCCACGTCTGCATAGAAATCATGGACGCCTTCAGAATGAACAAGACAGCCAGTCTGATCGGGGTGGAGGGCGGTCACTCCATCGACAGCAGCCTGGGCACCCTGCGCACCATGTACCACCTGGGGGTCCGATACCTCACACTCACGCACTCCTGCAACACACCCTGGTAAGAGCCAGCAGCTCAGCAGACACCTGGCATCCAACACACAAAGAACATCAACACACACGACTGCAGTAGCATTCAGTACAGAGAGGCATGACAGTCGTACTCCTCTCCAAGAAATAAATGTGTAAAGTAACAGAAAAAGCCCTGTCAGCTCATTACCCCCACTTTGTTCTTTAATTAAATAAACTGTGTGTCTACAGCAAGAAAAGCAACAGAAGAAACAGGACCTGAATGTATTTTAACTCTACATCTATGGGAAGGAAAACTTTTAAAAAAATGTACTGGTAGAACATTTTCTGGACCGACAGTAAACACAAAGACTTTCTGATTTTTAAATAGTGTATCTGTGGTAAAAGCACCAGGACACGTTTTAGTTATTTAATGGTAAAAGTATAATCAATGTGGACATGTTATTTAGTGGAATATCTAAAGCTCAAAAACAGAAAACGTATGGACAGCAGGGCCGCTGCTACAGCTCACCTGGCTGAGCTGGCGACCCGTGTACCGGCCGCTTCAGCTCACCTGGCTGAGCTGGCGACCCGTGTACCGGCCGCTTCAGCTCACCTGGCTGAGCTGGCGACCCGTGTACCGGCCGCTTCAGCTCACCTGGCTGAGCTGGCGACCCGTGTACCGGCCGCTTCAGCTCACCTGGCTGAGCTGGCGACCCGTGTACCGGCCGCTTCAGCTCACCTGGCTGAGCTGGCGACCCGTGTACTGGGGCTGGGGTCCCGACGCAGCGGTCGTGGGTTTGAATCCAGCTGCAGGTCCCGCCCCATTCTTCTGCCCACTTTCCTGTCTCTGTCTCTCTGCTGTCCTGTAATAAAGGCAAAAAGGCCAAAAAAAAAAAAAATTTAAAAAAAAAAAGCTTGGACAGCTCATTTGTGTGATTTGCACATAATCAAAAAAACCCAACAAGATAAAATCTGTTAAATGATGGTTCACATACTCTTAAGTTCAAAACACTACCTCCAGCTATAAAGACCAAACTCTTCCGTTAGCTTTACCTGCAGTGATGCTTACAAGCTGGATGAATTTCATTAACTATAAAAAGTTTTCTCCTTTTAGTGCTTTTCAGCATTGAATCATGATCAATATATATAACATTTGTTTGTCAGCAAGAAACTGAGCCGGAGCATTCAGCCAAAGCAGCAAATAAATGGTTTCAAAGACAGCAAGGTGAAGGTGGAGGATTCACGGCCCAGACCTCAAACCAATTTGTGGCTGAACTTGAAAAGAGCTACTCACTCACGATCCCTGTGCAGCCGATAGTGTGAACATTCTTTCAAAGAAAAATGTTAAAGTGGCAGCGTCCAGACGGAGACCTCTACACACAGGCTCAAAGCTGCACAGGTGCATTAACTCAATAGTGTCTTAAATGGGATGCACACTTTGGCTTTTGCTTATTTTTGGTTTTTTTTTTTTTTTTTAACTGACAATAAATTTTAAAAAATCAGTTTTCACTTTGACATAAAAGAATATTTTTTGTAAACTCTGGTCTAAAAAGTCAAACAAATTCACCATCATTTCATGTTGAAAAGCAACAATCGGGGAGAACTTCCAAAGGAAGGAAATACTGTTTACAGGCACTGCATATCATTCATATCACCCTAAAAATACTAAACTAGCATAAAACAAAAATGTTGTATTTTTATCTCTGAGCTGTTCCATTTTTGCTAATCCGGTCCATACACAAAGACATCAGTCGAACATTACATCGACTGATAATAGTTCCAAAATGTAAAAAAAGAAATACAAACGTAGATCATGCACTGTGGACAATTTCTATTAAATATACGGCCATACAACTGTTAATACACAGATAAGTGAAGTACAAGTAATTCAAGTTTGTACCTAAGTGGGGGGCGCCGCTACAGCTCACCTGGTTGAGCTGGCGACCCAGGTACAGGGCTGGAGTCCCCGACGCAGCGGCCATGAGCTGGAATCCGGCTCATGGCCCTTTGCTGCAGGTCCTTCCCCCATTCCTCTCCCCACTGTCCTGTCTCTCTCTACCTGCACTTTCAAATAAAGGCAGAAATGCCAAAAATATAACTTAAAAAAAAAAAAGTTTGTACCTAAGTGGAGATCTTAAATATCTGAGCCATCCGTCTCACACTTCAACAACATAAACACTGTGTGAAAGACGGCTGTATTAACACGAACTGTTCCAAACTAGAACACATCTTACAGAAACAGATGCACGAGGCAAAGAGATGTCCAACATGTCAGAACCAGGAAGAAAGCTTTGCTTTAGCTATTTATTCGGTTCATCACCATCAGTTCAGGTTGTGCTGTGAAAAGTACGGGGGATTCCTGCAGGCCCGCTTTGCTCTCCAAGCAACAGTATCGGATTCTGTAGAGAGCCGGGTTGTTACGGAAATGCTGCTACGCCTGAGTCAACACAGCTAATGACGCTACAGCTGAGAGCAAACTTTATGGACAGCAGCCACTCTTCCAAAAATAATGTCTCTGCATTCGTGAGTTGCTTTAGCAGTGATGTTGGCTTGCACGTAGTTGTGTATAAATATTTTTTTTGTACATGTATGAGCTATATCTAAAGACACCTTCTATGTGCAGTGAAAACTTTCAATCACCAAATGTACTTGAGAATAAAGTATGAAAGAATACCACTAAGTGCCAAAGTTCCCAGGCTACAAATGTGATCCAGGGTTATGCTTTCATTTTTAATTTAAATTCAAGTTTGACTTTTTATGGTAACTTCTTTCCTATCAGGGCAGATAACTGGCTTGTTGACACCGGATCAGAACCATCTGAGCACAATGGTCTGTCTCCATTTGGCAAGGTCAGTGGTCCCAGCAGGCAGTGACAGGTCACGCTTTGAGTCTCAAAAATGTACATTTGTTTACATTTATTACAAGTTATTTGAATTCCCTTTGCTACAGGCAAAAACAAACATGAGTGTGAAAATGTGCAGAAATAAGAATGTTCTCGTGAAAACAGTTCAGAGGACTTTGACATGAAGTGGGAGAAACACTGAAAATGAGAGGAGAAATTAGGTCAACAATTTGTATAAGTTTGATATTTTATGCCAGTGTTAACAACTTAAATTGAAATTAAACAAAAAACACTCACAGAAATAATCATTGTGCTTTCCTACAACAGCAACTAATTTTGGAAATGAACCGTTTGGGGATGCTGATCGATCTGGCTCACGTGACTGTAGCAGTGATGAACCAGGTGCTGGACATGTCCAAAGCTCCAGTGATCTTCAGCCATTCTTCTGCATACAGCGTCTGTCCACACAAGAGAAACGTCCCAGACGATGTTCTCAGGAAAGTGGTGAGTCTGCAAATCAGGCACAAGTGCAAGACGCAGCAGGGCGATCTCAGCGCCGCCGAGGACCACCAGCCTGCTCAGTGGGGGAAGAAGTCCGTTATTTCACTTCAAGTATTGCTGCCAAAGTTCATCAAACGTCTTGGGAGTGCTCTTGAAGCAGAAACATTGCCACTGGGCATGATATTTTATGCCAAGAACAAACTGTTACGACTGTGTAAGCTGCATCTCACTGTTGTAGTTCCCAAGCTGAAGCAAATTTTAGATGATTTTATGTGCCGTTGGGTAATTTGTTCTCCCAGCCAGAGGAGTCAGGCCCGTCTCAGACAGGGACCAGTTAAATGTGATGAGATGATGATGGGAAAGTCAAAAAACATGAAGAGTAAACACTGAAGAGACGTCCTGTCTGGGCTGCTTGGTCCTCAGATAACGCACTCATAAATGCTCTTTATGACACCAGCAAGTTAGTGCTTGTAAACTGGTACAGTTTAGCTGATTTATTTCCCAGTTAAAGTCAATAAATCAAGAGAAGACTTACTGTGCACCACTGTAAAATAACAACCAGATAAAGCAGCAGAGGTATACCCAGAGAACATGCACTCTATTAGATAAGAAAACAGAGGTCAGTACCCTCATATGGATTATAGGGAGTGTGAATGCATCTCCTGGCCTGGATCACATCTTTTCCTGTTCCTCTTGTGCACTTTCATTGCCTAACAAAGCAGAAAGGACACGTGTCCTTCCAGCCTACAGATCAGTTTCTAGGACACCAAGTGTTTACTGTTGTGTCACATCCGTCTCTCCAGAAAGAAAAAAGAGGAGTCGTGATGGTGAACTTCTACAACGACTATGTGACCTGCAGCAAGACTGCCAAACTCTCAGATGTTGCTGGTAAATTCAAGTCATTACCACAATACCTGCTGTAAAGCTGGTGAAACGTTAACATTTATCATCCTCTGGAAAAACCCACTTCATTGTCACGTTCACTGCTTTCATTGCAGATCACTTTGACCATATAAAGAAAGTGGCCGGAGCAGATATCATCGGTTTCGGTGGAGATTATGATGGAGTTACCAGGTGAGTTTCAACGAAGGAACTTTAAGACCCAATTTTGAGGCTTCAAATGTACAATGAGTTGCTTGGAAACCATAAAGTATCTGGCTATAAGAGACCTGATAGGACAGTTATATGTGTAAGAGTACCTGGTGGGAGGTAAAACCATCCTTTTGCTTGTCACTGTCTCAGACTACCTGAAGGTTTGGAGGATGTGTCCAAGGTTCCCAGCTTGGTGGCTGAACTACTGAGGAGAGGATGGACTGATGAGGAAGTCAAAGCTGCTCTTGGAAATAACCTGCTCCGGGTCTTCACAGAGGCTGAGAGCGTGAGCAATGGACACATACACAACCTGGAGCATGTTTTTGGTTCTGCTGTGGGGGTGTTCTTAAGTCATATGGGATGGACTGTAGACAATGGAAAGAACACAGAGGAGAGATGTTCACCACCTCTTCATGTTGATGTCATTGGAAAGCTGAACAGTTGTGTAATTGCAGAGATGGTCATTTAAAAGTGAAAAAAAAAACAACATTTCAAGAAAAACTGCATTTTGTGAAACTCTGTTGCTCACTTTCTCTCCAAACGTTTAAAACAGATGATCAGAACCACTTTTGTATCTGTGTGATAAATACGAAGCAAACTAGGCTTATTAAAGGTCTAGAAACAGGAGCGAACAGCTGCCCTGGCTCTGTCCAAACTAAAACAACTGTATCATGGCAGCTGGGTTTCCAGTGACTCCTATAACTCTACATTTGCTATGATGGAAGTACTGAAACAAATGCAATCATGCATTTGATTCTGGAAAGATAACAAAACCTGCTGGATCACCTGTTCTGGTGATGCACAAAGCTGTGTTCAACATCTTGTGAGTAACTGCAGTTGACTACAGCTGGTGACTCTGAGGCACTTTATGTAGGGCCTATTAGAGACACGCATTAGACTCAGTGGGAAAGTCTCAGGAGCTCCGCAAAGGTCTGAAAAAGCAAATCATTGAAACAACAAATGAGCTATTTGGCCACAATGACCAGAAATATGTTTGGATGAAGACCTTAACTCCGAGAACACCAAATCTACTGTCAAGCATGGTGGTGGCAGCATCATGGCTGTGTTCAGCTGCCAGTGGCGCTGTTGCTTTACACAAAGTCAACTGAATATTGAAAAAAGAGGAAACTTCACCTAAAACCATCACACAAGGCTGGGTCTTGGATGTTCCAACACATCGATGAGGTCTAAACAAGTGACTAACTCAGGCTAGAATTAAGGTTTTAGACTGGCCTTCAAGAGTCCTGGCTTAAACCCCATCAAGCTCATGTGGACAGTGATGAAGAAACAAGTCATTAAGCACTGATTGGATCACGATCATAGTTCAATCGGATCTTTTTATACTGACGGTGTTTGAATAGCAGATCAGCTCTGTGCATGAACACATAGCTGTCAGTGTTTTTCTGTCTGCTGTCTGACAGTCTTATCTTTGTTTGGTAGATTCGCGACAGCCTGAAAGCCACAGATCCAGATGATGTTCCAATTCCATATGACGCGGTGCAGAACCCGTGCAGGACGAGCCACGGTTACGCCGGCGACGCTGGAGCTGTTCATTCAGTCAGCATGCTGACCCTCCTGCTCACACTGGCTCTGCAGGTTTGGGTCCATTAACAGCTGGATGTCCTGCTGATCAAGGCGACTGACTGTATGCATGCATTTGTGACTGTAAGGAGCTTCATCGTGTAGATTTAATTCCAATTTTTACTCCGTTATCTTGAGTTAAATGACAAAAAACAACAATGTATGAGTTAACTTAATGACAAAGAAAGTGGCACAATAATTTCCATGTCAGAGCTGAGTTTGTTCAAACCTGAGTTTCAGCTCATGACTGTTTTATCCACCGTAAACTGTCATAAGAGGCTGCAGTGGGAACATGTCAGTGTGATGGTCAGTGCTGTAAAGCAGACGCTGTTCTTAGGGTTTTCCATGATTTAATAAAAGAGATAGCAAAAATAAAGTCACACAAGTGTAATCACAATGCACAAATACAATATTCCTGAACTTCAGTCCAGTTTTCACACAGAGTAGAACACATTTGTGAGAAGAGCTCCACCTAGTGTTCTGACAGGGTAACACATCTGAGTGAGACACCACACCACTGGACCTTTTCAGCTCTGGTTTTATGTGTCCGGTCCAGCATCACAGCAGAACGATGGTGACGATCTGGCTGCTGTGTTGTGCTGAACAGATTTACTTTGCCAAGGGGAGCTTTATGAATATAAGGCCCTCTTGGTAGTCTGATTATTATGTATTCATTCTATTTTATTTCATTCATTTATTTTGGATGCTTGTTTATTACTGAATTTAATATAATACTGCTGGACCTGAAAGAGGAAAAAGAAAGTGTCCAGTTTACAGAAGTGAGAGAGAAAGAGAACAGATCCACCACCATCTGGACCAGCACACAGCAGAGATGATCTGACCACTTTGGCGGGAAAACAGAGCTGATGGTCATCAAGAGCACCTGGAAGAGATGAGGAAGCTGAGAAAAGCTCAACCATTACCAGAGCATGAGATTCATATGTGCACACAGTGATGAGGGAAAAGACACACAGAAGAAAAAACCCAAACAAACTACAAATGTCAGGAGAAATAAATCAATGAAATAAAGCAAAGGAAGGTATTAGTGCCCACACTGCAATTACTACAACACGATGACGTCACCAGATGTCCCCACAAAGAGAGAAAGCCTGAATGTCTGCGAGAAGTACTTTGATACGTGCTTTGACGTCACAATGACGTCACGGTAATAATTAAATGTTCAAATATCACCACCAAAGCACATTTCACTATGGATCTTACAAGAGAGAACCGCTTTGAAGAGAAACTGCCGAAGGACAATCGAGAGAAATAAGCCGACGCGATGAGAAGGTCCTCACCTGGAGATACGGAGCTGAGGAGCATGCCAGAGGAGGGGGCTGATACTTCTGCCCCCTCAGAGACAACAACCGGGGCACAAAGTGTAGGTGGGCTGCGCCTGGCNAACTGTCATAAGAGGCTGCAGTGGGAACATGTCAGTGTGATGGTCAGTGCTGTAAAGCAGACGCTGTTCTTAGGGTTTTCCATGATTTAATAAAATAAATTACAAGACTGAATTTGCTTAAGTGTATTTGAAAAGCACAATATTACTAAAACTCAGTATAGACATTTTTACTGAGTAGTCTGTATTTGTAAGAGAAGAGCTCCACCTAGTGTTCTGAGAGGGCAACGCGTCACCACGTTACTGTACCTGGGTCATTCCATCTCAAATCATTACAGCTCTTCTATTCAACTGCCTTTTTTATCATAAAATATGAATATTCAAAATGGTATCTGTGAAATTTTAGCGTGATATATTGAATACTTTCTGAACTTTTTTTCTTGTGCAATAGTGTTCTGGGGTTTCAAAATGGTCTCCTAACATCACATAGAAAACAATAAGTATATATATATTTAAATAAAGAGATGTTTTTCATTTTTGGACACCACTTTTTAGGCTCCAGAAACAGTTCTATCTGTTGCCTTTCTTCATATTTTTTACATGAATATGCTTATTGGAATCAGAATCAGAATCAGAATCAGATTTATTGCCAGGTTTAGTTCTCACAATATGAGGAATGTGTTCTGGTGGGTCGGTGGAACAAAACAACAATAAATATACAGTAAAATAAAGTCACTAAAAATAAAAACAACTAATAGTAAAAAGAACCAAAGTTAAAGTTAAATAGGAATGGTGGTGATATTTACACAAGTGTTGAGGGTGCTGATATATTGTTATTAACATTTATACAGGAAGAGATGCTTGAAGGTAAACTCTTCAGCAGGTTCTGTAAATATACATTTACTCATACTTTAACTTTCTGCACAGTCCAGTTTGTGACACTGGAGTCGAAATTTAGTCCCAGTGGAACACAAAGCAAGAGAATGTGTTGTGATCCTATCAAACAGTTTCCACAATGACTATGAGAATACATTTACCACTAAAGTCCTGCTCACACAAGTACATCAGATCACCAGTAAACATACACCAGGGCATGAGCATTTAGCACTAGAAAGCCCCACTGCCCCAACACATCTGTGTATTTGGCTGTTATGCTGCTGCCATGCGGCCAAGTGCAGTGATAAAATACACAAAAGTACATGACAGGTCTCCTGCAAACCAAAGTTTATGACAACAAAGTGGGGTTTGAAAATTAGAAATATGTCCACATGTGTAATGCTGCAGATTCTGAATTAATGACATTATGAGAAATAGTAGTGGAAATGTCAGGCTTTGATCTTTTAACAGTTCTTGAGATACTGCTGTTCAAACATGGCCTCTAAAGTCAAAAAGCAGAAAGTGGGTTGAGCGGCAGTTATCTCATCTCGAAGAGTATTTGATACATTAAACAAAAATTTCATAAATATTTTTATAAATATCCATATTTTATGATTTTAAAAGCTACAAAACTCAAAGCTGGTTCTGTGAACTGATGGCATTTTTAGTGTAATTTTTGACAACATAGTAGGAACATGTACATTATGAGAGTACAGCCCTTTTGTATGAGATCTGAAAGTATTTTTTTATAGAGTTTCGGTTCATGTGAGGAATTCTCTTCTGCATATAAAGACTCATTCATTCACACGCTGTTCTTCACAGAGAAGTTGAAAAAACTGACAACATATAACTCTGAGATAATATTGCCCAAAGCATAAATTATGGACTTTAGAGAAGCTATCAATAGGCTTATGAAACATTAACCAACACCTATTGAGCATTTATGACAGCTGAAGCTGTAATGAGAAACAGATTGAAGACAGAGGAGGAGCGATGAGCATTCAGAGGCATAAACCAACGGAGACGGGCAGAAAACCGAGTGACAGTCTGCACTGATCCAAGCAACAATAGCAAAAAGCCTTACAACAGAGAAAGACCTACTTTCATGCTTCAAGGTAAAGAGAGACCAACTAGATCACGTTTGTGTTGGAGGGTAAGTTTAGAGACACAAGGAAAAAGCAGAGCAGCTCATTCAACAGTGTGTGAAAGTTCAGGAAATGCTGACCAAGGTTGTGTTAGCTTCATGCGTGGTGCTGTGGGTCAGTTCTACCTCGGCTCAGGAGCCATTCATGACCAGAGCCCTTCAGCTGATGTCTGAGACGCCGCTCATCGATGGGTGAGTGCAAAACTCTGACATCAAATAAACAGTGTGTTATGTTATCTGCTGTTTTTCATATGAGCAGTGAACGTTTTGCCATCACATTACAGCTGATAATGTAAATCATGAGGAGAAGCTCTATGAGCCTCTGACCCTTGCCTACTGACTCTTTTCCAGCCATAACGACCTGCCCTGGCAGCTTCTGGCGCAGTTCAACAATGAGCTCAACAAAGTGGATCTTCACACACTGCAGACAACACACACCAACATCCCTAAGATCAAGCAGGGACGGCTTGGTGCACAGGTATGTACAGAACACAATGTACTGGGACATTAAAGGAAACTATGTTTTCGAGGTCAAGGCTCCTTTATCTGCTGGTCCCACCGTCCTGTCTTCAAAAGGGCTTCATAGAGGTCCTTTTGCAACTTGGTGGGACCATTGCTTACTTGCAGATTGTGTCACACTGTCTATATAAAAGAATCCAAACTGACCTCTTGACACTGGTTTGACAAAATAACTCAGATGCCCCAACCCCCTCTGTTCCTGCCTTTCTATAGATATGATTACATAAACTTGATCTGTTCAGTGTAGATGCGTTAGGGTGCAGAGGCTATTGCATAAGCTTTTATGAGATTGTATTAACATAAATCAGTGGGTTCGTAAACTTGAGTGGTTTACAGCATATCTGTTAAAATATCAGATCTGATGATCTTAAATCACTTCATAAAGCATTTGTACCTTGTCACTGCACTTGTAAAGTCACACCCAGCTCATGCATTTATTGATAAACGTTTACATCCAAGTTAAGAAATGCTTTCCCTCACAGGATACGTCCAAAGATTAATCAACAGAAGGATTTACAACACAGAAGTAGATAGATGGACGTTTATTGTCATATGTGCAGCATGAAAAACAGCAGTTTAACACTGGGAATATAAATATAAGTGTAAAAACAAACAAACAGATAACGCAATCATATAAATAGATGCAAAGGAATAAAAAGAGACAGAAACTAAGGTGTATATAGACTGTTTATAGGTAGCAGCATCAATGAGGTGATGTAGCAGCAGATGAACGTGTAAAGTGCTCAGTGCCTGGTGACACATGTTACCTGGACTGTACATGGAACAGCAGTGATCAGTGTTTGTGGTTGCTCAGGAGTCTGATGGCCTGAGGACAGAAACTGTTTGTCAGTCTAGTGGTCCTTGACTTCACACTCCTGCAGCGCCTCTCTGAGGGCAGCAGTATGAAGAGTGTGTGCTGTGGGTGTGTGTGGTCTTTGATGATGTTGTGGGCTCTCCTGATGACCCTACTGGTGTAGATGTCCTGCAGCGATGGGAAGGCCACTCCAGAGATGTTTTGTGCAGTTTGTATTACACGTTGGAGGACCTTCCTGTCCTGCAGGGAGCAGTTCCCATGCCACACAGTGATGGCGCTGGTGAGCACACCCTGGACTGCACCTCTGTAGAAGTTGCTGAGGATTTCAGGAGACATCCCAAATGTCCTCAGCCTCCTGAGGAAGTACAGCCGTTTGTGCTTCTCTTTGTGAGTTCTTTAATGTTGTGGGTCCAGGTGGGATCGCTGCTGATATGTGTGCGGAGGAATGTGAATGTTTCCACCCTCTCCACCTCACTGTCGCCGATGTAAATGGGGGAATGCAGCACCTCCCTCCTTCTCAGTCAACAATCATCTCCTTGGTTTTGTTGGTGTTCAAGGAGAGATTGTTTTGCTGACACCACGTCACCAGCCTGGCCACCTCAGCCCTGTCGTCCATCTCCACTCCCCCGGTGATCATTTCCATGACTGTGGTGTCATCAGCAAACTTGTTAATGCTGGTGTTCTTCTGAATGACCACACAGTCATAGCGAAGAGTTTGAATTTCCCTTCTGGGATAAATAAAGTATTTTTCAAGAGGGAGTAGAGCATTGGACTCAGCACACAGCCTTGGGGGCAGCCTGTGCTGAACTTTCTGATGTCAGATGACCGGCTCCTAACTCTGACCGACTGAGGTTTGTCAGAGAGGAAGTCCAGCACCCAGCCACAGAGGGATGGAGTCAGACCGAGGAGGAGGAGCTTCTCACACAACCTCAGAGGGACGACAGTGTTAAATGCTGAGCTGTAATCAACAAACAGCATCCTCACACACGTGTCCTTTCCCTCGAGGTGCGTGAGAACAGTGTGAAGTGCAGCATTCACAGCATCGTCAGTAGAGCGATTCTGACGATATGCGTACTGAGATGGATCGAGTGTGGGGGGACCATGTTCTTGAAGTGATCCTCTCGAAGCACGTCATCACAATAGCGGTGAGTGCAATGGGACGGTAGTCACTGAGACACTCAGCAGGGGATTTCTTTGGGAGGGGCACAATGGTGGTTGATTTAAAACAGGAGGGAACACTCGCTCTGACCAGGGAGAGGCTGAAAATGTCCTGAGACTTCAGCCAGCTCCAACGAACAGGCTCTGAGCATGCGGCCCGGGATGGCGTCTAGCATCTGAAAAGTAGTGGGAGAGAGTATTGATTTATGCACTTAATGCTTTGTTTGGGCTCCTTTCCTATGAGTGTAATGTAGTGTGGCATGGAGGCGATCAGCCTTGGCACTGCTGAGGTGTTATTGAAGGCCAACTTGCATTGACAGCAGCCTTCAACTTATCTCTTTCTTATCTTCCTCTTTACAATACCCCATCTGGAGCTATCTGGCCAATCAAGAACACTAATATCACGGTCAGCAAACCATTTTGGCACTGTGGTCAGGTGCTGAGTCCTGCTGGAAACGGAAATCTCCACAAAGCTTGTCAGCAGATGGAAGCATGGAGTGCTCTGAAATCTCCTGGTAGATGCTGCATTGACGTTGGCCTTGATTAAACACAGTGGACCACCAACAGCAGACATGACACCAAGAATCATCACAGCCTGTAGAAACTTCACACTGGCTTCAGACACCTTGAACTCTGAGCCTCTCCGCTCTTCATCTCGACTCCAGGAGCTTGAAATGAAATGCAACATTATCTTTTACCTAAAAAGAGAGCCACTGAGCACCAGTCCAGTCCATTCTCTCCTTAGCCCAGGTAACTGCTTCTGACCTTGTCTCTGGTTCAGGAGTGGCTTGATGTTAGGAATGCGACAGTTGTAGCTCCTTTCCTGAAGACTTTTGTGCCTGCTGGACACCAACCTCAGTCCAATGCTTGTGAAGCTCTCCCAAGTTCTTGAATTGACTTTTTATGGCAAACATCTCAAGGCTGCGGTCATCATGTTGCTTGTGCATCTTTTCCTACCATGCTTTTTCCTTCCAGTGAACTTTGATGCAGCACTCTACCAGCAGCCAGCCTTTTCAGCATGACTTTCTGTGGCATAAACTCCTTGAGGAGGGTGTCGATCTTTATCTGGACAACTTTCAAGTGAGCAGTCTTCTCCATGGTTGTAGCTCCATGTGCTGAGCTCGATGAAGAGATAGATGGTATTTATACTGTTTACATATTCACTTACTCAAACTCTAAATTAGATATTCAAATATTCTGAGATATGCTTGAGTTTACAAATTTCCACTAAGGAAAAAAAAGAGCACTGATATCGCATCATTTATTTTATGCAAAACTTGTCTAAATGAGGGAAGACAGTGGTTTCTTTTGTATGTCTCAGGTATTATTTTAAGAGTCATTTAATTGACCGTGTGTTACCATTCGAACTGTTTTCATTCAGCTGTTGTGAGAGGCTGTGTCTTCCACTCCAGGTTATGTAAGCAAAGCCTACATCAAATCAGTGACAGAAAAAGGCTATCATTCTAATGAGAAACACAGCTGCTCCATTTGCTTTATCTGACACACAGTGGTGCCGGTGATTCACACATCATACTTTGTTCCTCTCTCAGTTCTGGTCAGCTTTTGTGCCCTGTGACACTCAGTACAAAGATGCTGTCAGACAAACACTGGAGCAGATAGATGTGGTCCACAGGATGTGCCTGAAATACCCAGAAACCTTCATGTTTGCCACCAGCAGCCAAGGTGAGACATTCATGTGTAGTTCCAGACATTCAAATGACTGTTCCAACCTGCTCTTGCTTCCTGCCTGCGTCACTCATGAACTGCCACGTCTGCATAGAAATCATGGACGCCTTCAGAATGAACAAGACAGCCAGTCTGATCGGGGTGGAGGGCGGTCACTCCATCGACAGCAGCCTGGGCACCCTGCGCACCATGTACCACCTGGGGGTCCGATACCTCACACTCACGCACTCCTGCAACACACCCTGGTAAGAGCCAGCAGCTCAGCAGATTTAAGTCATCAAACACAAATAACAGCATATCCTGAAGCTTTCCCATGCCAGATGAGATATACAATCCCTCCAGCAAGCTCTGGCTCTACCCCCAAAGGAGGTCGCCCAGGAGCCTCATCGGATGCCTCCTCATTGGATGCCTCCTCATCGGATGCCTCCTCATTGGATGCCTCCTCATTGGATGCCTAAATCACCTTAACTGGCTCTTGTCAATGCGAAGTAGCAGTAACCCTACTCTAAGCTCCCTCTAGATGTCTCAGCTCCTCACCTTATCTCTAAGCTGAGCCCAGCCACCCAATGGAGGAAACTTATTTCATTTCATTTTCTTATTTCATGTCCTCAACCTTCTGCGAGAGGTGTAAGAAACTCTTCCAGATGTGGAGGTTGAACGTCCAACAGAAAGGGGCCTCCGTCAGGCGTTCCCAGTTCAAACTCACTACACGTCCAGGTTTACCAAGTCTGTCCAGCAGCTTTTCCCAACCTCAAATCCAACGTACCACTAGGTGGTGGTCAGTTGACAGGTCCGCTTTTCTTTTCACCGGAGCGTCCGAGGCATATGGCTGCAGGTCTGATGACACAATTATAAACTCAGTTCCGACTTTTGGCCTAAGGTGCTCTGGTGACAAGTTCACTTATGAGCCACCGTATGTCACAGGGGGGCAATTGGGGAACGCAGGAGCAGACACAGATCAGGCTGACAGGCAGGTTCAGTGCAAAAGGATTTTAATAAGGCAGAAACAAAACTGAAAACTAATACAAGCGTGCAGACTAAACAGAGTGGGAAACAGAACGAAACAAATAGACAGAATTCAAAAAAGGACGAAACTACAAAACCAGAGAAAACTCCAACTAAGAACGGAGGGGGAAACCTAACAGATTCTAAGTTACAAAAAAAACAGGAAAACTCACACAAACAGGAATACTCACTAAGGAGGGAAAACAGAGGGGGCAGACAGGCTCAGGGGAATCCAGGGAGAGGCCAAGTGGAGACTGGCAGAAACGTGCAAATGTAATGTCTATGATCCGGCGGCTTGTGGTGGAATGAACCGAGTCTTTATAGGAGCAGTGGTGATAGTGTGCAGTGAGTCCGAAGTTGCAGCTGAGGGTGATTGTCCTGATTAGAGCCAAGCTGCACAGGGGCAGAGAGGGAGATGGACAGAGAGCGAGAGGCAGACAGGAGGGAGAAGAGAGTGAGAAAAAGAGGGAGACAGGCAAGGGCTGGGGGGTCATGACACCGTGTGCTCCAACATGGTATTTATTGCCTATCCTTGACTAGCACGGAAGTCCAATACCAGAACACCACTTGGGTTCAGATCAGGCGGGACGTTCCTCCCAATTACCCACATCCAGGTTTCTCCCTCATCGCCCACATGAGCGGCGTCAAAGTCCTCCAGGAGAACCCCTTCTAGGACATCACTTGGGAGACTGCAATAAGGCCAGGTACTCGGAAGTGAGATTCCTGCCATGTATCACACTTGAACAATAACCTAAACATAACCACGTGAAGGACTGCTGTAACAAAAAAATTAATGCACGAGGAAAAGACATGTCCAACATATACAAAAACTTCCTCAGAGTCACATGCTTTCCATTCTTAAGAACACTTTGCTTTAGGCATTTATTAACTAAGTTCAATTATGTCTATGTGGTTCATCACCATCAGTTCAGGTTGTGCTGTGGAGAGTACGGGGATTCCTGCAGGCCTGCTGTGCTCTCCAGGCAGCAGAGATACAGTCATATATAGTACTTTGGTTTATTCAAGGTCAGAAAGTGTACATGTTGTGTTTATGTAAGATCACGCTGCAGAGTACAATACAAGCTTTGAATCACCAAACTATTACTAATCACTACTCTCAATTTACTTGAGAATAAAGTGTTAAAGAATGCAGAAAAATAAGTTCCCAGGCTAGAAATGTGATCCAGGGTAATCCTTTCATAAGTTCAACAATTCAATTTCCATTCAACTTTTTTCTTATCAGGGCAGATAACTGGCTTGTTGACACTGGATCAGAACAATCTGAGCACAAAGGTCTGTCTCCTTTTGGCAAGGTCAGTGGTCCCAGCAGACAATTCCTGTATTTAAGGTGTAAAAAAGGATGTACTTTTGCAGTTTTACATCGAGCATAATTTATTTGAATTCCCTTTGTTACGGGCATGACAACCATTATTTTTAAGATGTTTTAAAATAAGTGTCCTTTTGTAATAATATAATAATGTGTCTTTGGGTAGTCGTGTTTGTGTTGTGTTCATCCTGTCAGACAGACCGATAGACTGCCTATAAAACGTATTCACTTCAGTTTTATTGTGTTACAACATTGAGTCAAAGTTCAGCCAGAAACGCTTGTGTCAAAGATATTTAAATTTACTGCACAAGGTTAAAGAGTCCCCGACACTTACAACACAAGGAAACATACACATCAACATGATTTTAGCAAGATAAGATGAGACTTTTATAAGATTATGAGTTTGGGGGCTGGAGAGAGTTGCACAACATTATATAATCAATATTGTAATGAAAGCACTAGTTTGAACATGACAAGAAGACGTGTCAGTGGTATGAGACAGACAATGCCAATTACACAAGCACAGATTCAGCACTCTGGCTCTTCATTTGACTGATCAACAGAAAAAGACTCTTTAACATCAAAATGAAGCTGATTACAAGGCTTTTGCATGAAGTGGGTACATTTTGAAAACTAAAATAAAATCAATACTTTACACTGGTTTGATATTTTATGGCACTGTAAACAGTTTTTAAAATCGATCATAAAATAATCATTGTGCTTTCCTACAACAGCAACTAATTTTGGAAATGAACCGTTTGGGGATGCTGATCGATCTGGCTCACGTGACTGTAGCAGTGA